GCCTACGTTCTCATGGATATCACACATTCACTGTTTATCAGCGAAGTCAGCAACACTCCCCCAGCTTGTCGGATTTATCCTTCTCGTGTGGTCGCAGTGATATTCTGCGCATCGTTCACCTAACAGAGAATCATGTTGCTTCTGCGGCCAAGCATCCTTCGCTTCACTGGTTTCTTCATCAAAGTCGCCATTCACTACTCTGCCTTCATCAGCGGCTGCGTTTTGCACCATATTTCGTTGCCATCACCTGAATGTTATTTATTGATGGGAGAGCACGTGTCTTCCGGTTGAACACTTTGAACGATGATGTAGTGGAATTTCTACCAGGCTGTAGCCTTTCTGCATGTATTCTCCGCTAAGAAATTATGTTACATCTGGATAAAGTAGACGTAACTCTCAAATTGTTCAAGTTGGTCTAGCCTATTTGTAGTTTTGTCATTAGTGAACACTTTGCATCACTTTTGTTTCCGATGCGTTGATTCTTGCAACACCTCATTCATTTCGCGATTGCTGCTGGCAGTGAAGAATTTGCCAGTCGCAGACAGTAAATGGTTTAACTTCCCACCATTGACGTTCAGATCGCCTTTCCAGTCCAGTTTGCGAAATATTTCCCTGAGACAGACTGCAGAAAGCCTGAATAATGTGAGAATCTCCCTGCTTCACTCTCCTCTCTATCAGAAAACGGATCGGAGCGGGAAAAGTGGTTGTATCTGTTGAACAACCTACATTCGCGTCACTAGCAATTTTCGCATTGTTGTCATAAATCTCTTCAGCTGCAGGAGTTTGCAGCATAGCATACAGCTGGCGCCGCATTTTCGTACGCAGCAGAGAGTTGGTACTTCTTTGCGCAATTCAGCGGGTGGATTAAGGCAAAAAATATGGCCCGTTGTTACGTAACTGTTTCGAAATCAGTGCCACTTCTTCGGCTGTTATCCCATCGAGGGGTAGTTAGTTGGTTGTTAGTAATCCTGGTGCCTAATTTGTCGTGATTTAAATGTCGCCTAAAAAAGTCCCTGACAGAGTATCTTTTTTAGTCAAACTGGTAATCTCTTGCTTTTTAAACTTTTTTAATTCCAGCAGTTGGGTTGGTTCAGCAAACATTTTTGGATGTTTTGGGTCTACGAAATCGTCGTATCTTT